AAAGCCATCCCACACAAGAACAGGAGCTGACGTGCCAGGACTGGGCGAGGGAGAGCAAAGACACTGAGCCAGCTTTACAGCACTGCAGGAAATGCAGCGAACAGCAGGCAGCTCTGTGCTGACCAGTGACGTCACTCGTAGGAGAAAGGCAGCATCACTGAGGCCCCCCCAGCTCTCAAACAAGAGCTCAGCGTTCAACGAGGAGCTGCCCCAGGCCTCCCCACCCAGCCGTTGTCAGCGCTGTGAAGACAACAGGAATCGGTTTCTCGTTGTAAGGGAGGAAAAAACATCTATGGGCATCTTTTGCGATGGAGCCTGCATTGCAAACAAGCTGGAGAAGAGAAGCTGGGGGTGAGCTGAGTGCAGCCTGCAGTGCCTAAAGGGAGCCTGCAGCCAGGAGGGGAGGCAGCTCCGTGCGAGGGGAGATGAGAGCAGGACGAGGGGAAACGAGGCTGAGGGAGGGCAGCTGGAGGCTGGGTGTCAGGGAGGTGCTGCGCTGTGAGAGGGGCTGAACGGCTGCCAGAGGGGCTGCGACGCCCCGTCCGTCCCTGGAGGGGTTGGAGGCCGGATGGGGCCCTGCTGTGGGACGGGGAGGTTGGTGGCCCTGCGTGTGGTGGGGTGCTGGAGATCTGTGATCCTCGAGCTCCCTTCCGACCCAGCCGTGCTGTGATTCTGTGGCCAGTAGTCAGGAAACGCTCCCCAGAGTTTGAATAGGGCAGCTGAGGATTGAGAGTGTGATGAAAACATTGCTGCTCTGCACCAGCTGCTCCCCAGCCCTTACCTTCAATGGGTGTGCAGTGAAACGAGTGGGCGATTTTGTTCCACGCGTCTGTCACTTGTGTATTCTGGATGGAGAACACATGGAAACACGTTAAGGGTTGAGGACTCGAGCCAGAAGCACGACTGTTAATTTTCACCTGGCAGCGTTTGGTGATAAAACCAAGCGGAGCTCTAACGGCTCCAAACACAGGAGGAACGGTGGCAGGATTCCATTTTTAACCCCCCCTCAACAAAAATAACGTGGAGCACGAGGTTCCGCTCTGCACGCGGTGCCTTTTCACACACAATTCCTCTGAGAGGTAACATGGGCAGCAGTGCTGGATGCTACTGGAACGCAACACGGGGCTGAAGCACGGCGCCTACGGCTGCTGAACAGCGGGCGAGGGGGGCTGAGAGCAGGAGGCATCAGCGAGCAGCACAGGGCACACAGGGCACACAGGGCACACAGGGCACACAGGGCACACAGGGCACACAGGGCACACAGGGCACACAGGGCTCACAGGGCTCACAGGGCTCACAGGGCACACAGGGCACACAGGGCACACAGGGCACACAGGGCACACAGGGCACACAGGGCACACAGGGCACACAGGGCACACAGGGCACACAGGGCACACAGGGCTCACAGGGCTCACAGGGCACAGCCGCCCCAGGGAGGAGGGGAAAAGCAGCACCGCTCCTCCGTGGGTCCCGCAGGGATCGGGTGGCTGCCACCCAACGCAGCGCCTGGCGAAGGAGCCGAGCTGCCTGCAGATTGCCACCCACAGGCCGTCCTTCAGGCGGTGTCACTTTGCTTTAGCACGGCCCTTTGCTTTAGCACAGCCCATCCGCGCAGCCCCTCGCTCTCGCCACCCCTCACCTGGTTTCCAGGCTTTACCAAACGCAGCGCGGCCTCGGCGCAGAGATGAGCCGCCTTGATGACATCGGCTTTACGGCCCGACACGGGGCTTTCCTGAAAGAACAGAGAAACGAAGGCTTGTAGGGAGCGGGTCCTCGTCCCTCCCATCAGCAGGGCTGCCGTCCTGGCTGCCTACAGGCGGAGACGCAGATCCAGAGCAGGGATGCGGATGAGGGATGCAGCGCTCCGTCCCTTGGTCCCTCCCTTGTTCAAGTGCCGCCCCGTGGAAAACCTACCTTGGAGGCATCTATGACAAAACTGTGAGCTACATTCGCTATGAAGCCATCGACGTGGACTCCCAGGTCACTGCAACACAAAGAGCCTTAATTACAGGCGGGAACGGCTCGGGAAACTGGTGTGACTCCTCAAAGCGTTCGAAGATGCAGGCGTATTTAATAAAGCCTGCCTAGATTAGCTGTTACATTCTGTAATTAGCACGCCGAGGAAGTACTTAACGCGGCAAACAGGACTAGAATGCAAAGCCCAGGTGCCAAAGGCAAGCTGATGAGAAACAACCGAGACGCTTACATTTTGACCAAGTCTCCATCTTTGAGGATGTAGTCTTGGTCACTCTTCAAGGGGGAGAAGTGACAGACACAGTTATTTACTGATATACTCGTTGGGAAGGCAATACCTGTGAAGGAGAAAGAGAAACAGCCCGTGGAGTCCGGCAGCCTCACACAGAGTGCAGGCAGCAGCTCGGCCAGCAGAGCGTCACCGAGTTTGAGCTTTGTACAGCAGGGAAGGCGCCCCGCCGAGCAGCCCCTGGTGAACAAGCACCAGGAGAGCAGCACACGGCCCTCCTGCCCCAGCAGCCATCAAAGGAATGGATCCTGGGCAGCGCAGAAGGGACCCGAGTCTGCAGAACGCTCAAGTGTCACCCAATTCCAAGGCTGAGCGCCCGGCTCAGGGCGACCTGCCCAATATTTATAATATAAGGAGCTCTGAGTGCAGGGAGGGCAGCCCCGGCTCAGCAGCGGTGCTCACAGCACAGGCGGCACGAGTCGCTTCTGTGCTGCTGCCACTCCAGATGGAAAAGCCTGGTGAGCTGACAGAGGCCTCACCTTTTTTCATTTCTTTTTCCTTCTTGAAAATCTTGCCGGTCTCCTCCATGATCATGGCGTCTCCCTTCTCACACAAGCACAGAACCGATGCTCCCGAATTCGCCTCTTCGACCACGGCACGCAGGACCCCTGCAGAGCAGCACAGACATGGAGCAGGTCAGCAAACTCACCACGAGCCCCTTTGTTTCTGACAGAGGGCATCGTTCTGGACTCAGCTTTGCACTGAGAGCTGCAGATAGGCAGAGAACCCACTGGAATTCGTATTGCTGTTTGAGAACCAAAGCAGGGGCAAAGCAAGGCGTGCTGGGATGTGCACAGGTGAAGCAGTGCAGCCTCACACGGAGGGTTGGCACGCAAAGGAGCTGAGAAGAAACACTGCTCTCCCACATTCCTTCCAGAGCACTCAGAGCTACAGGAACAGGTTTGAAAACTGCTTGAGAGACGCGCAGCACATCAAAGAGCAGAGGGGCAGCGCCGCGGGCTGTGTGGGACCAGGAGGAAACCGCCCTTACTCTGCAGAACCGTGGCTGCATGGCAGCGCTGCGCCCACACTGGGCTGTATTCTGGTGCCTGCAATTAGAGCTGGGCTCCAGGATGGGTGTCAGGGTGCCTCGTGCTCTGTAGAATGGGGGGAAGGACTGGGAGCCCATGGCTGCCCCAGCACTGCATTCGTATCGTTTCCATGATCATTTCACGGGTCTCAAACGTTGGTGAGGGATAAAATAAGAGAGAAGGTTCTTATAAAGAAGAGCTTTAGTAGATGGCAGGGGACTGAAAGGTGAGAACAGGAAGCATTAAGCACTGTGGAAGGGCAGATGGATTGCTGGGGTTTGTCAGAGCAGCAGCACCGAGCAGGGAACCCTCTGAGCCGCTCCGTGTCCCAAAGCACAGCTCCACAGAGCCTCAAAACCCCTGCGGCTCCTCCGGGTTCGTTGTGGACAGCAGCAACAGCCCAGCGACCCCGTCCCACCCCGGGGCCGCGCTCTAAGCAGGGCCACACCGCCGTCCCCCATGGGCCGAGAGCCCCCAGCCCCTCCTGAGAGGATCCCGCGGGCTGAGGAGCACCGGGAGGGCCCGGGGTCGTGCAGAGCCCGCGGGAGCGGCTGTCAGCTCCGCCGGGACAGCGAAGAGACGGCGGAAAGAAACGACGAAACAGCAGCGGGGGGGCGGGGGGGCACGGCGGAGTTCCCGGCACTGCCCGGCCCCGGGAGCGCGCCTCGGCCCGGCGGGGGGGGCGGGAACAAAAGAGCGGAACGTTCAGCGCGGGGGGCGGGGGGCGCCGGGGCCGCGTGGCCGAGCCTTGCACTCGTTCCTACCCGGAGGAACCGGAGAGATCGGGCGGGACGGGGCAGCGCGTGGCGCACAGCCGGGCCCTGCTCCCCCCCTCCTCCTCCTCCTCCCGCTCGGTGCACGTGGGGCGCGGAGGCCACGTGCGGGCAGCGCCCGCCGCGCGGAGCCGGGCCGGGGAAACCGGAGGGGCACCACGGGGAGGGGGGGCGGCACCGGGGATCCCTAACCCCCACCCGGGGATCCGCGCGGCCGCCCCCGGCCCTTCAGAGGCCGCCATCGCCGGGTGCCCGGGCCGCCGCCGCCCCCCCCACAGCGGCCCCGCGCGGCCCAACGCCGCCTCCCGCCCCCCCCGCCCCCCTCAGCCCCGCGGCCCTGCACTCACGGTTGGCGATGTCCCCCCCCATCTTGTACTTGGTCACCACCAGGTCCTCGGCGATGGTCAGCTCGGCCGCCTCCTCCTCTCCCGACATGGTCGGACCCGGCCCCGCGCCCGCCGCCGCCGCTGCCGCCGCTGCCTCCGCTGCCGCCCCCCCGCCGCCGCCGCCGCGCTGAGGAACCCGGGGAGCGCGAGCGAGAGAGCGCGAGCAGAGCAGGAGCGCGGGCTCCGCGCGGCGCACGCTGGGAAGCCGAGTCCCCTCCCCCTCGGACTACGGCTCCCAGCAGCGCGCGCGGCCCGGCCCCGCCGCGGACTCCAGCTCCCGGCAGGCGGCGCGGCTCTCGCGAGAGATAGAACCGGAAGTAAGGCCAGAAGTGGTGCGCGAGTGCGGCATGGCGGAAGTAAGGGGTGTAGCCGGCGCTGTTCGGCCTCGCGCAGGTCGCTGCCCCGGCATGGCGACCCCCAGCCGCCCCTTCCTCTTCGCCTTTGCCCCCCTGCTCCGCCCGGCGCCAGGCCCGCAGGTCCAGCCCCATCCCGTGCCCCCTTCCTCCCTCCCCCCATCACACATCAGCAGCCACAGCTCTGCAGCCCGTTCTCTTCCAGTTGTATTTATTCCACGTTTACAAACGAGACCCGACTCCCTGGGTGCGGGGAGATGCTCGGAGCGCAGTGAAAGGGCCCCTGTGGGGCCCATGGGCGCGGCCCAGTCTCGACCCACGGAGCCCCTCGGGAGGGCCGTGTTGCCAGGGTTGCCATGCGGCGTGGGCACACAGCCCAGCCTGCAGTCGGGGCTTACCCTCAATCCACCTCATGCAGGAAGCAAAGAAATGCAGGGCCTCTCACCCACGGCAGCTGGGAGGACCCCAACCCCACAGGTAGCCCCCCCCAAATCCCCCCTCCCAGCCCAAAAGCAGGGAGCCTGACCCCAGCCAGGGCCTGCAGCTGCAGTCCTGCACGGGGAGGGGAAACGCTGGGAATATCCCTGGGGCATGGCAGTGCAGAGGAGGGGTCCAAGCCCTCCGTCCCAATGGGGCCTGAGGGGTTCGGGATCAGCCCCACACCCAGGCAGGGCTGCCCCCCCCAATCCCACGTCTTCATGTCCCCCATGGAGCTTTGTCTCTTGCCCTCCGTCCAGCAGCAGTGGGGGGGATGATCCTTCATATCCAGTGTAAACAGCTGGGGGGGCAGGGGGTCCCTACGTCCGCTGGGCGTCCATCTTAGTGAAGAGGCGGCTGTGCCAGTAGTCGGGGTTGTCGAAGGCACAGTCCGAGGCCTCCAGGCTGCGCAGGGGCTTCATGCAGGCTGGGGGGGGTCCGGGGGGGCTGCGGCAGCCAGGGCAGGGAGGGCCACGGGGGGCCAGCACCGCCTCCATCTCCTCGTAGCCCTGCTCCTCGGCTGGGGCCGGGGGGGGCTCCCCAGGCCGCATGTCGGTGTAGCCGTCGTGCCGGGGGGGGCAGCCCTCGTGCCGGGGTCCCGGCCCCCCCACCACGTTGCCCAGCGAGCGGCTCAGCCGCGGCTGCTTGTTCATGTACTCGTAGTCCTCCTCCTCCTCCCCACGGCCCGGGGAGGGCCCTGCGGGGCTGCCCAGCTCGGAGCCCACTTCCATGTATTCGTAGCCCAGCTCCTCCAGCGAGGCTGGCCGCGGTGGGGGGGCTTGCAGCGGGGCGCCAGGCTGCCGGTTCATGTACTCGTACTCCTCCTCCAGCTCCGGTACTGAGCCCCCCGTGGGCTCTGGTTCTGCGGAGTGGAGGTCAAACAGCGGCTGTGCCCCCACAGATCTACCGCAGGACTGGGGCTGAGTCCCGGGGGGCTCAGTTGTGCCGGGGAAGGGGGCTGAGGAAGGGGTTTGGGGAAGGGGCCACCCAGCCCTCCCTACAAACGCCGAAACCCCCAACCCTAACCCTGCAGAACCCCAAACTCAATTCTGGAGCTGAGACCCCCACCCCAAGGGAGCCCCCCAGTGCCCTGCAAGGAGAGACCTCCACCCACAGCCCAAACCCTGCTGGGAAGGAACCCCCCACAACCAGGAATGGGACCCCCAGGCTGGGACCCTCACCCCGTCCGGCGCAGCTGGGTGTGACGTAGCCATTGGCGTCCTCCTCGCTGCCCTCTGAGCTGGGGGGCGGGGGGGGGAAGCTCTCCCTCTGGGACAGGTAAGCGCTGTCCCCCCGTGAGCGCAGGCTGCGGCAGAGGCTTCCCGACAGCGACAGCCCCTCGGCCAGGTCCAGCTCTGAGGCCGTGCCCCGGCCCTCCGATGACTCCGACACCGTCCGCCCCACAGACTCCTGGCGGCTGCGGCGCGGCGGACGCGTCCCAGTGCCCTGCGGGACATGGCAGCGATTGGGGGGGAGGGGGAAGGGCTCCATTACCTCCCCTTCAGTGCCGTCTCAGAGCTCCAGCCCCACAGACCCCCTCTCGCCTCTGAGCCCAACCCCAACGTAATGAAATAAAAGGAATTGAAATACAATGAATTCCACTGCAACGCCATGGAACGCGGCGCAGCCCAAACCCTTTGCTCCCCCCTCGGTGCTTCCCTTCCCTCCCACCCCTGCTCCAGGTACCTGGCGGCTGCTGAGGCCGGGCTGGTTCATGGGGATGTATCCAGCTGGAGGGCTCAGCAGGCTGGGACTCTGGGGGGGGACACGGGGGGTTGGTACCAAGCGGGGCAGCGCATCCCACAGCAGTAATGGAATGGGGGTCCCCACCAGGGTGATGGCTTAGGGTTAGGGTCAGCTCTGCCCCCCCAGGGGGAGACATGGGGGACACCAGACCCACACTCTGCCCCTGCCCAGGATGCAGCCAGACCACAGCAGGGGCCCCGGGGTGGGGGGGGCAGAGGGGGGGGGGGGCTCACCCGAGTGCAGCTGCCTCGTGGCCGCGGGGGGCAGAGGCCGAAGGACACATCCAGCTCCTCCTCCTCCAGCTCCAGCGTCTCCATCTCATCCAGCTCTTTGTCGCTCAGGGTGGGGGGCTCAGCGGGCGGCACGGCCCCGCTTTCCTGCGGTGGGGATGGGCACGTGAGGGGCTGCGGGATCCCGGCCCAGGGGGGGGCCAGGGGGGGCTCTCACCCACCTTGATGACCAGGTAGCGGGGGGGGTCCCGCGCCATGCGGGTGAACTCGTTGGCCAGCTCCTTGAAGGTGGGGCGGATGTTCTCGTCGATCATCCAGCCTGGGAGCAAGCAGAGAAGGTCGTGGCAGGGTGGGGGCCAAGGGCAGCCCCCCCCCCCCCCCCCCTTTGCCAAGACAGCGCCCCCCACTCACATTTCACCATCACCATGTAGACGTCGATGGTGCAGATGTGGGGCTGCGGGAGCCGCTCGCCCTTCTCCAGCAGGTCGGGAACCTCTGGCAAGCGAATCCCGGCGTACGGCTCAGCCCCAAAGGTCATCATCTCCCACAGCGTCACTCCTGGGGGGCAGCAATGTGAGCGCAGGGTGGTGGGGGGGCTGATGGGGGGCTGGGGGGGCAGCGCTCACCGTAGCTCCACACGTCACTCTGGTGCGTGTACTTCCCAAAATGGATGCTCTCCAGTGCCATCCACTTAATGGGTGTCTGAAAGGAGAGGGGGGGTTGGGGGTGTGATGGGTAGGGGGCATTGGGGGGGGGGGAGGGGATGGGGGATATGGGGATGGATCGGGGAGAGGGGGGTGAGGAGATGGGGGGCATGGGGATAGAGCTGGGGGGGGCGGGTTGGGAGCTGGAGGATGTGGGGACTGACCCAGCGGGGGAGAGGGTGAGGGGCTGGGGGTATGGGGACAGACCGAGGACTGGGGGGGGTGAGGGGCCGGGGGGCACAGGGACAGAGCTGGGGGTGGAGGGAACGCGCAGAGCAGGGACTCACGGCACACGGGTACCGGGAACATCCGGATGGGAACGGCTCTATGGGATGGGATTTGGGGGGACCCACGGCGCAGGGTTTGGGGACAGGGGGTCGCAGCGACGCGGGGCCCCACCTTGACCTCGTTGTAGAAATACTTCTTGTCGTCGGGGTACAGCAGATCAGCGATGCCAAAATCGGCCACCTGCGCCTGGCTGGGCGACTTGAGCAGCACGTTGCGCGCCGCCAGGTTGCGGTGCACCATGCGGTGCTCCTCCAGGTAATACATGCCCTGCGTGCGGGGCGGGGGTCAGCGGGGGGGAGGGGGCGACGGGGGGTCCTCCCACTCCCCCGGCCGCAGCCCAGCGCTCACCTTGGCCACCTGCACGCACCAGTTGAGCAGCAGCTGAGGGCTGATGCTGCCGCGGTTCTTGCGCACGTAGTCGAGCAGGGAGCCCAGCGGCAGCAGCTGCGTCACCAACTGCAGCTGGGGGCCGGGGCAGATGCCCAGCAGCCGTACGATGTAAGCGTGGTCCAGGCTGCCGATGGCCAGCATGTGCTGGGGGGGCAGGGGAAGGTCAGCATCGGGTCAGGAGAGTGGTGGGCAGCGGGGGGCACAGCGCCGGACTTACGTCGGTGACGGCATGGAAGGACTGCTGCCCGCTCCAGTCCTGGATCACCTTGATGCTCACTGGGATCTTGATGGAGTCGCCGTCCGGGATCCAGATGCCCTGCGGGGTGGGATGGGAAGGGGATGAGACGGGGGTGGGATGCGAGCGCTGCCCTGGCTCCATTGAGCCCCCCTCACCTTGTGCACGGTGCCAAAGACGCCCGAGCCCAACACCTTCAGCCGCTTCAGCTCCGTCTCCTTGAAGATGCGAGCCAGCACCTTGTTGGCCTTCTCACTGGGGTCCAGCGGCTCCAGGCTCTGCAGGGGGAGTGGGGACAGAGAAAAGGAGGATGGGGAAAAACGGAGCGGAAGCGGGCAGGGATGAGGTTGGATGGGGACGGATGGGGCAGCGGACACAGATGGGTGCAGGAGGGGAATGATGGAGGGGACGGATGGAGGGGATGGATGGAGGGGGCGCCCCCTGCCCGCCGGACCCCCCGCTCACCTCACCCCGCTCCAAGTAGCGCCGCATTGCCCGCTTCTTCTGGATCTTCTTGCCGCGCCAATAAAGCAGGGAGAGCAGGACGCAGGAGCAGGAGAGGAAGAGCCCCCCGACCACCAGCACTGCGATCACTGTGGGGGCTCTCCTGGGTGGGGGGACGGGGCTCAGCTCAGGCGCCATCCGCCCCACGCATTGCCCACGGCCGTGCCCCACAGCAGGGAGACAGCACGGCCAGGAGGGGGGCACACACGGGCAGGGAACAGCCCCAAGTGGCACAGCACGGCACAACGAGGCTGAGGGACCCCCGAAGCCCCCTGGAGACCCCATACCTGGCACTGGGCAGCGCGTCCCCCAGACAGTCCCGCAGCAATGGCCCTGTGCACCTGGGGGGGGGGGGGAGCAGAGGGGGGTGAGCCGTGCACCACGCGCAGCCTCCCATTGCTCTGACAGCTTCCCATTCTCCTCCATTCCCCTCCACTGCCCCCATTTCTCCCCACTGCCCCCACTTCTCCCCATTGCCCCACCACATCCCATTCTCTGCCGTTTCCCCCATTTCACCCCATTCCCCCCCGCCGCCCCCTTTTCTCCCCATTCCCCCCCATTGCCCCCATTCCCCCCCATCGCCCCCACGGCCCCCGCTCCCCCCACACACCCACGGGTGCAGTTCTCATGGCAGGGCCTGCACTCCCGGCTGCTGTCTGGGTATTTGTAGATGGGGCCGCGCTCGCCCAGGATGCCTTCGGGGCAGCGCTCCACGCAGTGGGGTCCGTCACGATAGTGGGCACAGCGGGTGCAGGTGTCAGCGCCCTGCAGGGCAGGGGGGGTTGAGCACCCATGGGATGCCCCCGCTCCCCCCCCCCTCTGTGCCATACTGAGCCGTTGCAGGTGACGCCGCCCTCCACGCGCTCGCACTCCGGGTGGCACTCGAAGCATTCGGTCCCTTCGGCGAACTCCCGCGTCTCACTGTGGGTCGGGGTGGGGGGGCGGCGCTGAGACCCCCCCGTGGGACGGCCCAGCCCTTGGGGTCTGTCCCACCTGATGCTTTTTAAGGGGTCCATCACACCCCAGTGCCACCCATGTGGTCCATCCCCTCCCAAAGCCCTTCGTCGGGTCGATCCCATTCCAAGCCCCCCCCAAGGGGTCCCTCCCACCCCGACGCCCCTCATGGACTCCGCCACATCCCTGCGGACTCCATCTGACCCCAACGCCCCCTGCAGGGTCCATCACAGCCCCCATCCCCACCGCCCCCACCGCCCCCCATCCCCCCTCACCCCTGGGTGAAGCTGCAGGACTCCACGCAGACCCCGCGCCGGCTGTAGTGTCGGCAGGACAGGCACTGCGCGGGGCCGGGCCCCCAGCAGCCGTCAGCAGAGCACAGCGGGTCGCACACCTTCCCCTCTTGCTCTGCAGGAACGGGGGGCAGGGGAGGGGGGCTGAGCGCGCAGCCCCAGACCCCCATCGCACCGCAGCCCGCCCCCCACGCCCCTCACTCACGGCATTTGCCGCGCGGTTTGTTGTTGCGGATGTCGAGGTCGGCGCGGCGCCGGGACAGCGCTGCCCACTGCACCGTGTGCAGGTAGCACAGCCGCCGGTTCTCCGTGATGTAAACCCGACCCGCGCTCACCTCCCGCAGCGAACGCAGCCCCAGCGACGTCACGTTGTCGTTTTTCATGATGAGGAGGGAGAAACCCCGGCTGGGGGGGCAGGAGAGGTCGGGGGGAGGGACGGCGAAGGGATACGGGGATGGAGAGGGACCGCGGCGGGGTGAGGGGATGGGGGGAGATGGGGGGATGAGGGACGGGGGTGGGGTGCAGGAATGGGGCGGAGGGGGATGATGGAAGATGTGTGAAGGAGGGACGGAGGGGCAGCAGTGGGATGGGGGGTGCGGAAGAAGGGGGCGCGCGGCTGAGGGATGTGGGGACATGGGGACAGAGGGGACAGCGGGGGGTGCGGGATGGCAAAGGGGAGCTGGGGGACGAACGGCTGAGGGACACAGAGGGAAAACGTGGGATGAAGGAATGGGGGAAGGCCAGAGGCAGGGGGGATGAGCAGAGGAGGGACATGGGGACCAACGGGGGGGGCTCACTTGTACAGACTGCGCCCGCCGATGGTCTCCAGGTTGGAGAAGACGCTGAAGTTGTGCATGTGCTTCGGCCAGGACTGGATGTTGAGGTACCCTGAGGGGGGTGGGGGGTCAGGGGCTGCGCGGGGGTCCCAGCAGCCCCCCCATCTCCGCTCCTACCTGTGATCTCCCGCACCGTGCGGAACACGTTCAGCTTCTCAGGGTCCAGCGCTGAGATGTTGCGCCAGGGGTCCCTGCAGGCCGTGGCCGTCAGTAGGAGGGGGGGATGGGGACCACAAAGCCCCCCCTGCCCCCAGCTCACCCCTCCAGGCCGGTGATGAGGAAGTCCAGGTTGCCCAGGATCTTGGTGCAGTTCACAAAGCTGTCGATGTTGCTGGAATCCACCGTTTGGTAATGGCTGCCGGCGCCGGTGCCCTCACAGGCTGCGTTGGGGGGGGGGCACACATGATGGAGGTGCATCCCACCCCCCCCCCGCTCCAATCCATCCCCCCCAGCCCCTCATTTCCCCACACCTTTGGGGCACAGCCCGGCGCACGGCTCGCACATCTTCAGCCCGTTCTTCTCCACTTCCATCTTGCTGCTGGGGCAGGCGCGCACGCAGGAGCTCTGATCCACCACGAAGTTATCTGCGGCGGGAGGCGGGGGCTCCCTCAGACCCCCCCTCAGACCCCTCCCCACGCCCCCCCCCACCCCCCGCCCTGCTCACGGGGGCAGCTCCGCACGCAGACGCTGCCATATTGGTACTTGGTGTCGGGGTTGGGCTCCAGCTGGAAGGTCAGCTTGTTGTAGATGAGCGGCTGAGGGCACAGCGGGACGCAGGCACCGCTGTCATTGAAGTGTCGGCAGGCCTGGGGGGCAACAGGGCGTCGGGTGGGCGGACGGACAGAGGGACGGGGGGGGAAACGGGGAGAGAGGGACAGAGGGATGGACGGAATGGAACAGAAGGACAAAGGAACAGAGAGACAGGGAGACGGGCAGAGGGACGGATAGAATGGATGGAAGGAAGAACAAAGGGATGCGTGGACAGAGGGACAGAAGGATGGACAGAAAAAAGGTCAAGGGGACAGAAAGACGGACAGATGAATGGGCAGAGGGACAGAAGGATGGAGGAATAGGCAGAGGGATGGAGGGACAGAAGGACAGACAGAAGGAAGGACAAAGGGACAGGCAGACAGATGGACAGAGGGATGGGGAGACAGAAGGATGGACAGAGCGGGCAGGAGGAAGGACAGAGACAGACAGGTAGATGGACAGAGGGACGGACAGAGGGACGGACAGACACTGCCCAGCCCACACAGCGTCCACCCTCAGCACACAGGTGGGAGCCCTCCCCACAGATGGACAGAAGGACGGACACACAGACAGACCCCCCCCCCACCCCACACCCACCCTGGGAATGCAGAGATGAAGACACCCCCCCCCCAATCCACAGACAGACAGACATGAGGGTGGCTGGATGGACAAACGGACACACGGTAGGGATGGGTGGACAGACAGACAGACAGCCTTCCCCCAGCATCGCCCCATGTATATCTGGAGGGGGGGGGAGGGTGGCACAGGGACGAGACCCCAAATGCGCAGAGGGGCAGGCAGACAGACGGACACAGAGGACGGACAAACAGAAGGAGGGACGGACGGGCAGTGGGGGGGGTTTACGTACGAAGCAGTGGGTCTGCAGGGGTCCGGTGCAGCCCCCCGCGCACTCCTCATGGCAGCACTCGTTGGGCGCCCGCCCGAAGCAGCGCCCATTGCACTGCGGCGCACAGATGGTCTTCGTCACTGCGGGGACAGCGGTGAGCGGGGCGGGGGGCAGCGCCCCAGAAACCCCCCTGTAGACCCCCCCCCTAAACCCCCCGGTACCCACACTGCTGGCAATCATCGGGTCCCGGCCCCCAGCAGTGCCCACCGCAGCTCTCGTGGCACGGGGCGCCTGTGGGACAGAGCACAGGGGGTCGGTGGGGGGTCGTGGGGGGGGGGGGGTTAGGGTTAGGGTTGGGTCTGTATGGGTGTGGGGTCAGTGGGGGGAGGCGGGATCAGTGGAGGTCACTGTGGGGTGTGGGGTCGGTGTGGGGTCTGTATGGGGTGAGGGGGTCAGTGAGGGGTGTGGGGTCACTGTGGGGTGTGGGTCAGTGCGGAGTCTGTGTAGGGTCAGTGTGGGATCATGGTGGGCTATGGGGTCACCGGGGGTCTTGTGGGGTCAATGTGAGGAAGGGGGGTCAGTGTGGGACCACTGTGAGGAGGGGATCAGAGCGGGGTCTGCATGGGGTGAGGGCTCAGGGCGTGCGGCGCCCCACGCACACGCTCTGCCGTTGTCCCCCACCACGGGCTCCAGCCGGGGGTCCCGCATGATGTCCCTCCACTCCACCGTGTCCACGTGGCACAGCTGCTCGTTCTTCTCGATGTAAACTCCGCCCGCCAGGATCTCTGTGGGAGCAGAGCGGTGGGCGTCGGGCTGCGGCCCCCCCGGCTCTATGGGGTGGCACCGCTGGGGGGGGTGGGGGCATGGAGGATGGCGCTGATTCGTTATGGGGGCACCGTGGGGACGCGGCCCCACTCCGGGGTAGGGAAAGTGGAGCACAGGGATGGCGGAGCCCTGGGGTGGGCAGGAGGGGGGGAACGTCATCGTGTGGGGACGGCGGAATGGGGGGTGGCATCGTAACAGGGAGGGGACAGTGGGGAACGGCACTGCTCCAGGATGGGGACCATGGGGCACAGCATCGCCTTGGGATGGGGACAGTGGGGTACAGGGGGATGGCACCGCTCTGGGATGGGGACCACAGGGATGGGGACAACAGGGACACGGCACCGCTGTGGGACGGGGGACAGTGGGGTAAAAGGGGATGGGGGACCACAGGGAGGGGGGCAATGGGGTACAGGGAGATGGCACTGCTGTGGAATGGGGATCGTTGGGATGGGGGACCACAGGGCACTGGGAGTGGCATCGCTCCTGGATGGGAACCAGGATGGCACCACACCGCGATGGGAGCCGTGGGGCACAGCCCCACTGCAGGACAGGGACATTTGGGGGGGGGGGGGGGTGGCAGCAGGCAGTGCTGGGGGTGCCAGGGACGCGGCCCCACCTGTGAGGCGGTTGAGGCCCAGCTGGCGCAGCGCGTGCGTGGTGTTGGGGTTGTAGTTGAGCAGCACGAAGAGCGCGTATTTCTCCTCGTAGAACTGCGTCCCGCGGATGACGCGCAGGTTGCGCAGAGGCAGCGTGGAGAAAACGTTCATGGCGATCAGGATGTAACCCGTCACCTCCCGGATGGTCTGCAGGGATGGGATGGGATGGGATGGGATGGGATGGGATGGGATGGGATGGGATGGGATGGGATGGGATGGGATGGGATGGGATGGGATGGGATGGGGTGGGATGGGGTGGGATGGGGTGGGATGGGGTGGAATGGGATGGATGGGATGGATGGGATGGGGTGGGGTGGGATGAGGTGGGATGGGATGGGATGGGATGGGATGGATGGGATGGATGGGATGGGGTGGGGTGGGATGAGGTGGGATGAGGTGGGATGGGGTGGGATGGGGTGGGGTGGGATGGGATGGGATGGAATGGGATGGATGGGGTGGGATGGGGTGGGATGGGATGGATGGATGGGATGGGATGGAATGGGGACGTGTCCCCCCCACAGCGGATGGTGGGCGGGTGGCTGGTTGTGGATTGTCATCGTCCCCCCCCCCCCACCTGCAGGAAGGAAAGGTCCTGTGTGTGGTCGATGAGGACGATCTCCAGGTTGCCCATCACGATCTCGCAGTTGTTGTACATCTTGTGCAGCGTTCGGTACTGGTGCTGCGCGTCGCCTGTCACGCTCAGGCCGTTCAGCGTCCCTGCGCACACTGTGGGGCAGCGCTGCTGGGGGGCGCTGCATCCCCAACCCCACAGCGTCCCCAACTCCAATACTGTCCCCAACTCTGGCCCAACCCCACACCATCTCTAACCCCACAGCATCCCCAACCCCAGTAGCGTCCCTGGCCTCACAGTGTCCTCAAACCTGGCATCTCCGGCCCCAGTGTCCCCAACCCCAGTGTCTCCAACCCTGGACATCCTCAACCCCACAACATCCCCAACCCCACAGCGTCCCCAACCCTGGCATCCCCAATCCCACAGCGCCCCTAACCTCATAGCATCCCCAAAAGCGTCCCCAACCCCATCACTCCCCAACCCCAACGGTGTCCCCACACCTCACCCACACCCCTCCCAACCCAACACATCCCGTCCCGTTGCCCCCATCCCCTCCTAAACGAACCCATCCTTCCCATGTGACCCCCGTCGTCCCCCCCCACGTTGACCACGGCGCTGCCCCCACTTCACCCCTCGTTCCCCCCCCCCCCGGCAGCGCCCTCCCCTTTGGCCCCGTCCCCCTCCCACGGCCCCGTCCCCGCCCCTCCCCAGCACCACCCGAACCGGACGGGTGAGCGTTGCGCAATGCGGGCGCTGCGGGCAGTGCCCCCCCCCCCCCACCCGGACTTCGGACTCGGCCCCCCCTCCTCCCCCCCCCAGCCCCAGGGTTAATGATTCCCTGCCTTCCCCCCCCCCCCCCCCCCCTCGACGGGGCGCACAGGGCCTCTTTGTGCTCGGTGCCCCCTCCCCGCATCCGCACAAAGCGCTGATTGTGGAGCAGGGTGGGGGGAGCGGAGCCCCCAAAAGGCGGCGGGGTTGGAGAGGGGGAGCGCGCACCCCCGGGGGGTTCAGCCCGGGCCCAGACGTGACTCAGCCCCGCTGGGGGGGGCTCGGGGCGCTCAATGGGCGCTTTGTCTGCACCGGCAAGGGGGTGGATAAGGGCCCGCGCCCCCGGGGGGGTGCAGAGGATGGGCACAGCTCAGTGCAGCGCGGGAAGGGCGCGGGGAGGAGGGAGCGGGGGGCTATAGCAGCAGCAGACCCCCGCCTGCCCCCCCCTCTCCTGAGGCCGGAGCTATTTCCATGGGAAGGGGCTATAAAAAGGCCTCAGCTGTGGGGGGCGCGGCCGCAGCCCCGAGGCCGCGGGGATGGGACCCCCACAGCCGGCGCTGGGGGTCCCGAGGTGGGCGCAGGGCTGCGGAGCTGCGGGGACCACGCGGTGCTTTGGAGGCGTCCCCCCCGCGGGACCCCCCGTGCACCTGCCCGGGCCGGGGGGGGGGAGGAGGGGGCGGCGGCAGCTCGGCGTTATCAGCGCGCTGAGCCCGACGGCAGCTCCGGAACGCCGCTATCTGAGCGCCCCGACGGCCCCTCGGCCAGGAATAGCGCGGCGGGAGGGGCCGAAGGAACGAAACGGAACGAAGGGGGGGGGGGGGCCGACCTTCCGCCCCCAACCCCGCGGGCGGCACAAAGGGGGCTGTGTGCGTGGGGCCGCGCTCCGGCCCGAACAAAGCGGCTCTGAGTTGGGACCGGGGGGGAAACGCTGGGATTTGGGGGGAGAGGGGGAGGGTCGGAGAGGCGCTGCGGCCATCGGTGGGTGCAGGGGAGGGGGGTGGAGGAAGCCCCAGAACCACGGAACCCCCAAAAAACGCCCCGCGGTTTCGGTGCTGTCCCGGTCCTCGCGTCCCCCCGACGTCGCGCCCACCCGCGCCGCGCCCGCAGCACATGGCCGCGGCCGCAGCCCCTCCCGCTGCGCTCCCGCACGTTCGCCGCACCGCGCCCGGCCCCACCCCCGCGCTCTGCCCTCGATGTTTTCCTTTTGGGGTTGAAAAACAACACCCGGGTTCTGCCCGTCCTTCCGGGAACCGCGTCCCTTCTACCCGTTCCCCGCTGCGGCGCCGGGGGGTCCCGGTAGGACTCCGGTCGCCTCCTCCCGCCCGGTTCCCGGCGCGGCCCGAAATATCCGCGGAGCTGCGGGGGCTGCAGGTGCCGCACGGGGGGGGAGGGGGAAGGCGGGTTTCGGCCGAGGAAGGGGCGCGGGGGGACCAGAAGGGTTTCACCGGGAGCGGACCCCCCTCAGCCCCCGGCGCGGGGTTTTTTCCGGGGTCGCGGCGTTGAAAATCGGGCGCGGGGACCGGGAACTTCCGAGGGTCCGTCCGCGCGTCCCGGGACTCCGCAACGGCGCAGAGCCCCCAGTTCCCGGGAACGCCGAGCTCTGCCGGTGCCCGCACCGCTCCCGCGCCCCGCACAACCCGTCGCGGTGCGGTTCCCGCTCCCGGTGCGGCGCTCACCTGCCTGACCGGAGCCCGGCGCGGGGCTGAGGAGCAGCAGCGGGAGAACGGCGCAGAGCAACGCGCCGGGCCGGGGCATCCTCGGCGCCTCTCCGAGCGGCGCCCGGCGGTTGCGGCGTGCCCGGGCGAGGCGGGGGGAATGCACCTGGCGCGGGGCCGCCGGGGCGGGACGGGCTGGGCCGGGTGGGGCGGGGCGGAGGCGGCCCCAGAGCCGCGGGACGGCGGCAACCGGGGACCCCGCGCGGCTCCTCCGGCGGGGTCGGGTCCTTCCGCAGCCCCTCACCGCGTGGGGAAGTCGGGATCCCGCAGCCCTGCCCCGAAGGAGGGGGGGCCGGGGGGGGGGGTCAGGTTGCTGCTCCCCCCGCCCCGCGCTGCATCCAGGGCGCGTCCCCATCCGCGGCACGACGCGCTCCTGCCCGCAGACCCCGCCCCCTCCTCACAGCGCCTCGCTCACCTGCAAGCAGCGCTGCGGAGTCCCAGCGCCGCCCCCCCCCCGGCAGGTGACACCGTGCAGACGGGACAGCGTCCCCCTGGGGCTCCCGGTGGGGCACGGCTCCCCCCCCGCCCTCCAACCATCGCTGCAGAGGGGGGAAAAGGGCACTGCTCCCCTCGGTGACGGGGTGGGAACCCCCCAGAACTGCCCAGGGAACCCTACAAACACCCGCACGGAGGCCAAAGCAGCCCCCCCTATGCACCCCCCCATGGAACACGCAGGCACAGAGCCAGGTTTGGTCTCAAGTCCTTTATTCAGACTGAACTCAGGGACATTTTCAGCCCAGGGACGTTTCCAGACATCTTCGCCTTACATGGGCTTGGGGGGAGGCCGGGGGGCTGCGCCCTGCAACACAAAAGCAGAAGGTCAGCGAGATGCAGGGGGGGAGGAAAACAGATCCCAACCCTCCCCCGTGATCCCCCGCAACCAAAACGCACCGCTGGCCTGAAGCGAGGCGGGGGGGTCCGGTCCTTGCGGGCCTCCCGTGAGCGGTTCCTCACCACCTTACTGTGGATGGCACAGCTGACGCAGTAGTGCAGCTTGACGTACAGCTTGGGCAGGACATAGGCTGGAAAAAAGTGGGGGGCAAAGAGGGGTGAGCCCCCAGCCTGCGTACGGCCCTGTGGGGAGGTCAGCATCCCCCATGCAGGGGACAACAGGGCCGCGGTGCCCCATTACCCACCGCTCCCCTGTGGGAATGCAGCTCCGCACAGCCATCAATGCAGCCCCATTCATTCAGGGCTTAGACGCGTTAGGGGGGAGGGGGAGGAACCGCGGCCCACAGCCCCCCCAGAGCCCCCCCCACAGCCCTTACAGTCGAAGACGCTGGCCTCCGAGATGTCCCTGACGGCTGCAGCCTCCACGATGTTCCTGATGACGAATTTCTTGATGGCTTTGTCCTTGGGGACGCAGCGGGCGCAGTTGGTGCAGCGGATGGGCTGGACGTGGCCGCGGCCCTTCTTGGCACGGCCGTTGTTCCTCCTCTTCTTCGTCTGAGGTTGGAATGGGGAGGGGGGGAGCGAAGCCCAGAAGTGCTGTGAGCCCCCCCGACTCATCCTGGCAGCCCCCCCAGGCACGGTTTTACCCTCCCCACACCCCAAACCTCCCTGCATCCTCACAACGACTCCCGCGGACCCCTCACCTCCCCAGCCCCCCTCAATCTCCCACCGCCCTACAAGGATTCCTCATTTCCCATCCCAGATACCCTCAGCACCCCTCCCACAGACCCCAACCCCATAAGGACCCCCCAGAACTTCCTATAATCCCCTATAGACCTCCACGCCCACCCCTCCACCCCCCTCAGCAATCCTTCATTTCCCCCCATCCCACAATGACCCCCACCCCCCCCTTTCCCCCACCCCTACATTTTCCCACAGCCCCACAGAGCCCCTCCCCAAGGACCCCCACAGCCCCCCCCCCCCCACCTCCCCCCTCCCCGCAACCACCGCGGTCTCCCCGCACCCCACGAGGCTTCTGCGCGTCCCCCCCCGCCCTCCATCCCCCCTCCGGCCCGATCCACCGCCGCCACCGCTCACCATCGCGCTCCCGGGGGCGGCGGAAGAGGGCCCGGCCACGCGCCGCCGCCTTTATATAGCAGCGCTCCGCCCGGAAGTGTCTTCTGCGCCGCCCGGAAGTGCCCCCTGCGCCGCATGCAGCGCCCCGCAGCGCCGCTCCGGACCCCCAGTGCGGCTCCGGTTGGGGGGTGGGGAGGAGCGGGGATGGGGTCGGGGCCGGTGCTGGGAGGGTTGGGGGAGACGAGATCGGGACTACTTTTCCCGTGGGCGGCGGAGGGATCCGCGCAGTGCGTGACGGTAAGGTGACTGCGCGCGTGGCGTGCGTCACGTGGTGCGTGCGCGCCGCGGGGGACGCTGGGAAATGTAGTCCTGGTGGCAACGCGCGCCTCGGAAAGCGACGCGGGGGTCCTGAGTCACGTGGCCTCCCCCCCCCCCAAAAAAAAACCTATCCCGGGCCCCCTCTGAAGGGTCCTGCGCCCCCAAATTATATCCTGCATCCCCAAAGGGTCCTGAGACCCCCCCAATACAAAAAGCGCCCAAAACGTAACCTTCAGCCCCCCCCAAAAGAAGCGTCCCGCACCCCCAAAAGGCGCCCTACAGCCCCCCAGATGTTTCTGCCCCCAAACCCGGGGGCGTCGCACCCCGCCCCCCCCCCCCCCCCCCAGCGACGCGGCGTTAAATTATGCGGTTTATTTGTAACAGACCTCAGCCGTACAGTACAAAACTTACAGTAGATCTCATCACAAAGGTACTTACACTATGGTACAGATACAAAAGCTGCGGAGCGGCTCCGACCGCACGGGGGGAGGAGTGGGGGGGGGTGGGGGGGGGGTGGGGGAGAGGGGACAGCGAACCCATGGACGCTACAAATGAAACGCGTTAAGGGGGGGGGCGGCCGGGGGGGGAGGGGGGGGTATTGCACATCGTCGTTGTTCTTCATACATCTGATTAAAAAATATAGATATGTACAGGGGGAAGCGACCTGGGGGGGTACAAAATCCCTACGTCTGCTGTAAAGCAAAGCGACAGCGCAGCCCTGAGCTCCTCTGGGTGGGTGAAGGGGGGGGGGGGGGGGGGTGAGGGGGGCGCAGAGCACCGCCCCCCCCCCCCAACCCCAGTGCCCCTCATATCCCCCCCCCCACCCCTCCTTGAGCTCCGGCCGCAGAGCCAGCGGCTGCCGCGTTGAAAGGAGGAAAATAGGAACCCAAAATCAAATGAAATCCGGAGCGGAGCGCCGCCGGCGTGTGAGGTGGTTGTGTTATCCCATAGAAAAGAATCAGCCTTTGGTTTCACCCTCAGGGGGAGAGCAGCCCCCGCTGAGGGTACACACGGTGGGGGGGAGGGGGGGTGCCGGGGGGGACCCCCCCCTCATACCCCCGTTTTTGGTTATCGCCCTCAAAGCCCCCCCCAGTGTGGGGCTGAGGGAGCGCGGAGCCTTCATCCCACGGCCCCTCCGCCGCTCAGAGCTGTGCCAGCCCCCTCAAAGGGGCTGGGCTGGGGGGGCACAGAGAGCTGAGAGCGCCCCCTGGGGTTATAGCACCTAATGTGAGGGTTAGGGGGATTTTCCCCCCCCCGGAAGGGAACGTCTCAGAAATTCACGTGAGACTTTGGTGGGGGGGGGGGGGGGGGGGGGTAAGGAGTTATAAAAAGAGAAACTAAAAAGCTCAATAAATAACGGAGTGAGAAAAAGGGGGGGAGCACAAAAGAAGTCCGTTAATATTTAAATAACTCCATTTATAAAAAGGCAAATCGTTACGAGCTCCCCTCCACGGGGGGGGGGGGAACGGGAGGGGGGGGGGATATTTTTTTTTTTAATTATTGATTTTTTAAATACCTTTTCGTAGCCAAAGTTCAGTGCAAAGGAGTTAAAAAAGGAACGACGACAACAACCAAAAAAAAAAGAACCAAAAATAAAAAGAACCCAAAAACAAAACGACCGAAGAATTTTTCTGTGGGGGTCTGAAGGCGTCGGGGGGGGGGGGGGGGGAGGGAGGGGTAAAGGGGGGGGGGGGCGGGGCTCAGCCGACCTTATGCTCGCCCCGCACGATGTGCGAGGAGAACTCGTACCGGTCCTGGCTGTGGTGGCCGCAGATGTTGCACTCGAAAGGGTCTCTGAAGCCGTGGCAGCCCATGTGGATGGTGAACATGACGTGGTCCAGGAACAGGATGCGGCAGTGCTCGCAGCGGAAGGCTCGCACCGGCTCCCCGTCCTCGGTCACCACGCGCAGCGCCTCCCGCCCGCCGCCGGCCGCGTTGCGCGTCGCCCCCTCCGCCGCTTTCGGGTCCTCTTTGGCGAACGCCGGGCTCTGGCGGCTGCCGTTTCCCGGCGGAGGCTGAGCCGTCCGCTCCTCGTGGACGCTCTCCGTGTCCGTGGAGTCGTGGCAGCCGTTGCTGGGCGACGCGCCCGCCTCCCGCCCGCGGTACAGCGCCTGCGCCCCGTCCGCCGTGTCCTCGTGGCCCTCGGCGGCGTCGCGGCCCCCCGGCAGCTCCAGGCGGCCCGGCAGAGGCTGCAGTTGGGTGTAGACGGAGCTGATGACGGGGGTCACCTCCGAAATGCAGTTTGTGGGGGGCAGGCGGAGCGGGCGGAGGTGTTCGCCCCCCATCAGCGCCAGGGAGCTGCCGTAGGAGGGGTCCAGGGGGTGGTGGGCCGACACCATCTCCACGTCCTTCTCGAAGCCGGCGTTCACCTCGAAGGGGAGGTCGGAGAGCGCGAACCGCATCTGCTTCTCTCCTGTGGGCAGGAGATGAGAGGGTGTCAGAGCACAAGGGCACCGGGACCCCCGTCCCACCCCACCCTGTCCCATCCCATCCCATCCCATCCCATCCCATCCCATCCCACACACAGCCCCACTGCTGGCCCACCCCATCCCATCCCATCTCATCTCACAAAGCCCCACTGCTATCCCATTCCATCCTGCTCCACATGCAGCCCCACTGCTGTCCCATCCCATCCCACCCCATCCCTCCCCACCCCGCAGGGTGGAAGGCGCAATGCGAGCACCCACAGCACCCAACTGCAGAGCATGAGCCATCAGCGCCTCATCCCCCCCAGACCCCCTCTCCCATCTGCCCAGGCTGGGGAGGGAGCAGCCCCTTACCCACGAATTTCTGAGGTGTGGAGCGCTTCCTCTTGGTGAGGCTGTTGGCCAGGCGGTCGATGAACGTCGGCCGGTCGGCGGAGGGGTGCAGCAGGGAGTCCGGCACGATCTCCAGGTCCCTCATCTCATCACCTGGCAAAGCAGCAGAACGCCGCTCAGACAGCGGGCGGCGCGGAGCGGTGGGAGGAGACGCGGGGATGCGGCAGCCACCAAGCCGGCCTTGGCAGCCTGCCACCCCGTGGCCACCGGGCACGGAAGCAGCGGGGCTCCGGCTGGGACCCCCGGCAGCCCGGTCCCGCTGCCCCCCTCCAGCACCCACCTTGCTGGCCGACCAGCGCCTGCGGCTCAGTGCTCAGACTCTGCAGGTAGCTGTGGCAGCGCTCCTTGTGCTCCTCCAGCGTGCTCTGCTGCTTGTAGCTGCGGCCGCAGTAGTTGCACTTGTAGGGTTTGCCAACGGTGGGAGAAGAGACTGCAAAACACACGGATGAAACTCAGATCGCGAGGACACGCAGGGGGCCACCGAGCCACTGACACTGAGCTCCAGGCTGGCTCTGCTCCGGCACCTCCGTACGGGCAGCCGGGTCAGTGCTGAGCAGCTGCTGCGCACTCAAGGTGATGCTTCGCAGCGCTGGGACCCGCGGCCCTGGATCCCCATCCCCGCGGCCGAGGCAGTGGGCACAAAGCTGCCTCCCCGCTGCTCCCAGCCAGAGGGCAGCAGAAGGGCCCCTGCGTGCTTCCCTGCGGGACGGTGCGAGATGCAAACGGCTTTGTTAGGGGCTGGCAGGGGAGAGCTGCGCTGCTGCCGCCCGCCGGGCAGGGAAGGCACCCGGCTCTCGCCTCTGAAATCCACATTAAACGAAGGTTTTCTCGGTAATTAGCTCCCATACAGACTGATTGCTGTTTGATGCTGTGAGGACGTGTCCCACTTCTGCGTCTCCTGGCGAGGGCTCGCAGGCACCTTCGTATGCCAGCGGCGGGGGGAGGCTGGCACGGCTGCCAGTTGGGTTCTGATCCCAGGGATGGAGGGGTCCGACCCCAGGGAAGGGGATCCCAGCCCTCCAGCAGGATGGGGCGGAGCTGCTCTCCACACACGAGCACAGCAGCAGCTCACGTGTGCTCTCTGCCCTCCGCACTGTCAGCAGGGATTCTGCCTCCAGCCACCGACTTCTGGCTTTTTTTTTTTTATCCTCAGAGATAAGGAAAGATTCCAGGGCACGGATTCCTTCGCCTGTTCTTCCCATCACTGTCAGAGGCCATCAAGCTCACCTCCTCCCCAGGGGGAACGGGCTCTTCTGGGCACCTGAACCCGGCAGCACTGCCAGGCAGGGCCACCCACAGCCCCACCAGCTGAGACACAGCAGAGCCAGAGGCAAAAGCAGCTCTCCGGTGTCACATCCAGCAAGGACGGCGTCGGAACAGAGCAAACAGAACCCCTGCGTGCTTCCATGGGGCACGGCCCACCCAGGGCTGGGACCCACCTCCATCAAGCCCATTAAACATTCATCTCTATGAGAAAGAGATGCAGCCCAGAACCTCGGGGCTGCCTCCAACGCCCCCAGCTTCACCTCCAGGACACGACGGCCCCCCCAGCACCCAGCACCCAGCACCCAGCACCCACCCCACACTGGCGCTGCCCCATAGGAAGCCTCAGACCGAGCAGGAAGCCAAGCTGCCGGGTGCACCAGGCTCAGCTCCCCCCCGTCAGCTCTCAGTTCACCCCTCCCCACCTCCCCGCTCCCCACCCCGGCCAGGCACCCACCAGAGTGCGTCCTCAGGTGCCCAGTGAGCGCATCCCTCCTACGGCAGGCGTAATTGCAGAAGGGACACTTGAAGGGTTTCTCCCCGGAGTGCAGCTTGATGTGACGAAGGAGGTTTCCCTTCTGGGTGAAGGAAGCCCCGCACTGGTTGCAGTGGAACGGCCTTTCCCCTGCCAGGCAGAGCAGAGCATGAAACCCCCAGAGGAGAACAGAGCCCGGCTCCCCCCCCCCCCGAGCCCCACTCACCCGTGTGGCTGCGCTTGTGCACCATCAGCACGTTGGGGCCGATGCACACCATGCCGCACACGTCGCACTTCAATTTGCCGTTCGGCAGCCGGATGCCACCGGGGGAATGCGGCTCCTGGCCCGGCCCGTCGCAGAAACCCAGCGGCTCCGAGAGGGAATCCTCCACGATGACGCTGTCGTCCTTTTCCAGCATGCGATCCTCCTGTGCCAGCAGCCGGCTGCCTTCCTCATCGCTGTACATCTCCACCTTGATGGAGCTGGCTGCAGGAGGGCAGAAAGGACACGGCTCAGGGGCAGGGTTTGCTCCTAAAGGCGCTGCAGGCCTGTCTGCTCGTCCAGCCACCACTGCTTCGGTGCTTTGTGAGGAAAAAGCATTCGGCCCCCCGCATCCAAAGGCAGAGGGAGAAAGAAACGGCACTTAAAGCACTTGGGAAGAGCAGGAAACACCGAATTTTGATCGTGAATCAGTAAAGGCACAAAGAGCGCCCAGTGCGAGTCCCTGGGTCAGCAAACCCCAGAAAAGCACTGGGCTGCAGGTTCTCATCCTTGCCGGAAAGCCTGGGATCCAGCTATGGAAACAGAAAAGAGAACCCGAGCAGGACAGCAGTGCAGGGAGCAAACGCTGCGGGGCATTCAGCCACGAGAGCCCCGGGTGACAACACAGCGACCCAGCGGCTGCTGGGGAAAGGACCCACGGGCTGGAGACCCCCAGGGCGCTGCCCGCCCCACGAGAGGCAGAAGGCAGCCCAGAGAGCCCAGCTACAGGCACTGCTGGCCGGAGCCGGAGGGCACGGAGCCGGGGGCCACAGCGCCACAGACCCCCCAGCCCTCCTTCCTCCTGCAGCACCGGGAGCGGAGCGGCTGCGCTGGCAGCGACCGACATTCCTGGCTGCTCCAGCGAGCTGTGGAATGCCACAAATCAGACGGGCTCCAGAGGGTGGCAGTGGGACAGCGAGGGCTGCGCTGGCACAGATGGGGACAGGAGCCTTCCTCCTTCCCTCCTCTCTGCTGCTCCCTCCCTCGGCCGCACCTCCAGATCCTTCTGGAAGCAGAGCAGCGCCGTGCAGAGCAAGTCGTCAGCTGCCTGCGTTGGGACGTGCCAAGGACAGCAGGAATACCTGCCCTGCTGCCCTGCTGCCCCGAAACCTGGCCAGGTCACCCATAGGGCAGCACACAGAGCCCACAGCCTCAGAGAAAACATTTCCAGGATCCCTTGAAATATCAGACTCTGATTTCTTCTGTTTGAAGCGGGAGGATCTTCCCGAGCCCTTCGGGGAGTTGCTGGGGCTGAGCTTTGTGGACACAAAGGAGATTTTTGCTGCCGGCGGGGATGATGCCAGCATCCCAGCTCCCTGGTGAAGGCAGGCATGGCAGCACAGACCTGCAGGAATCCCAGAAGCTTCAGGCCCGACGCTGACGTGCTCCCCAGGGCTCGTCTGGGTCTGTGCTGTGGGCAGAGGGCTCTCAGCTGTGGGTCCGGGCACAAAGCTGAGCGAGGAGCCCAGGAATCCCAGCTCTCGCTGCCTCGCTTCCCCTCCTGCACACAATGCTGCCTTCCCAGAGAGGCTCTCAGCAACGGCAGCGACGCATCCAGCCCGGCTCTGGCAACCACAGGCGCTTTCAGGCCATCTGCTGAGCCATCGGCCGAGGGCACCGCAGGCTGCAGCCGGGGGGGCTCAGAGCCACAGCAGCCCTGGCAGAAGCAGAACCTTCCTTCCACGCTGCCCGGCGCCACTGGGAGCAGCGGGGGCCCCCGGGGAGCACAAACACAAAGCAAAACGCTCCGATCTTGACGGCAGGAGCTGCCTGGATGCGTTGACGTTCGCTGCACTTTGATTTTCTTCCTCCCTCCCCCCCCCCCCCACGTCGTTCCCCTGAGGACTTGTTTTTCTTTCCTGGGCGCAGGAGGAAGGCCAACTATTGTTCTGTAATTCTCCTTTCAGAACCAGAGCTGAGTCCGGTCGCGCTGAGAGAGCCGTCTCCTCCGGCAGAACAGGTTATATAATATTCTTGCTCCTCTGGGGCTGGATGAACCAGCTGTGAAGTCAAGTCGGATCAGAGCAATGCCATCACCGGCGTCCTGCTGCTCACGGGGAAGGGCTCCTTGCTGCCCTTTCAGCTGGTCCACGTGCTCAGCTCCTTTTGCTTCCAACAGAGCCGCTCTCCACTTAAGGCTTCGTTTCTTCCCACAGCTTCTAAGCGTTTTTAGAGTGCAAACAGACAACAAACAGCTAAAACAAATCCCCCCAGAATGGAGGCAGCTCACGACGTCACCCCTTCTGAAAACGAAATCCGTTTTGATTTCTTCACCCCGGCTCAGGAAGGGCCGGAGCAGAGGAGCCGCCATGGCTGCGCGGGTCGATGGCAGGGGAGCTCCTCTGCCACGCAGAACTCTGTGCTCCTCGGGGACACAGGGAGCAGCAGACCCTCAGTGGGGTGAATCTGACGGAGCACAGCCACAGCACAGCCCCCCACCCACCGCGAGCCCCCAGAGCTCAGCCCATGGGCAGCGCTGTGGGGTGGCGGCAGGCACCCAAAGGCTCCACCACCAGGACCCGGGGGCTGGGGGCAGCCCAGGGGGGGGTTTACTCACCACTGAGGGAGCGGCTGGGGGAGGAGTGCTGGCTGTTGGGCGTGCTCACCGCAGCTCCCGCGATGGCCGAGCTGAACTCCTTCTCCAGAGAGGAATCCCCGCTGCCTTTGGGAACAAGAAAGGGAAGAGGGATGTGAAGCTGCCCGCCAGCGAGACCCGCAGCCACTTTGCGCAGCAGCGACCCCCAGCTGCCCCCCAGCAGCAGCCCCAGGTGGGACCTGGCGGCAGCACACAGCAGAGCCCACGGCCCCACAGCACAGCGGGGAGGGCGAAGTGCTTTGGGATGGAAGCTCTGTACTCAGCCCCTTCTGGGACAGATGGCACCCGCAGCGCCGTGCCCCCCAGCGCCCCATCGTGTCCCTCACCGACGGCTTGTGGTGCTGCAGGAAATACTGGGTCACGTTTCCTTTGCTCTAAAAACAAACGCGGGTGCCCACGGCGCTGGCAGACGGCGCGGTTCTGATGGGAGCTCCTGGCTGCAGGCAGAGCCAGCAGCGCTGCTGGGTGCCTCATCCCCATCCCCGCTGCCTGACGGACACAGCCGTGCCCCAAAGGCCTTTTCCTCCAGCCAGGCTCCAGGCTGAAGGAGAAGCGAAGCAGAGCAGCAGCCCAACTTCAGGGCAGCTCAGCTCCACGCACCCAAAGCCCACAGCCGGCAGCAGGAAGCGCCCCACAGGGTCGGCAAAGCGCCCAGAGCCCTGAGGCAGTGACCCCCCCCCCCCAGCACTGCAGCCCAGGGCTGCGTTCTGACCCTTCCACCCCTCCAACAGCCCCCAGCACTTCAGCCCAGACTCCCAGGGCTTGGCTCGGCACAGCTCATCGAGTTGCTGTTTATCACACCTGCAGCATCAACGCTCCCCAGCTCCTCAGTGAACAGAGCTGGATGCTGAAGTTTGTGAGCACCTTACAATGGCAGCGACCCAAAACAAGGGGAGGCAATGGAGGTGGGACGTACCAGATATGTAGGATCGTCCATTACAGTCTTCTATATCCATCCTTAAGGTACGTTGCTGAAAGAGAGAGCAGAGCAGAGTCAGAGTTTGCTTGCAGGAGCTGCTCAGCCACCTCCCCACCCCCCCCCCCAAATAAAACATGTCTGGGGCAGAGCTCTGCAAGTCCCCCCAGCGCAGCCCCACATCGCCATCAGCCCCATAGGTACAGAAACCCGGCCCTGGGGGGCACAGTGTGGGCGCAGAGCCCCCACCCACCCCAGGGACAGACGGACACGGAGCATCGGAAGCATGGAGTGGGGACATCTGGTGCCATTCTGCTGATGGGAAGAGCTGGGTTTGGGGCAATGGGACCGAGTGGCAACGCAGCATTGAGCCCAGCGCCCTGCAGACACCACGCCGAAATGAGAGGGAAACCCACCCAGCTGGGGTAATTAACTCATTAGCTATGAGGCGGCTCTCACTGGCCCTCTCCCATCGCTTTGCACACACGCTCACATCGCCTGCGCACAGAGCAGCCGTGCAGGGAAATCCCCTCTGTGCAGCACAGCCCAGCTTGGCAGCGGTGGGCGCACGGCCCTGAGCTCCTCTGAGCTGAGGGCGACGGGGCCGAGACCCCCTCCCCCATTTTGCAGCCCCCTCCACGCACGCAGCGCTTTGTGCCACCAGGCAGAGACCTCAGCGACGCTGCGCTGAAACTGGAGCAGCGCTCAGCACTGAAAGAAGGGCTGCCCCCCCCAGGGGCTGCACTCAGGGAAGCAAAGCCCCCCCCAGCAGCCCAGTTTAACCAAAGCCCGGGGCTGAGCACGGAGCCACCCAGACGTCCTCTGTGCTGAGCGCACGGGGGCTCCTGAGGACAGCGGGGTCAGCGCGGCCCCCATCCCAGCCCTACGCCGCCATCCCTGCAGCTCGCAGCCCCCCCAGGACAGACCCACTGCCTTCACACGGGGCGAAGGGCGGCACGAAGCCCCACAGCAGTCCCTGCAGTTTCTCTTCCCAAAGCATTGTTTCCATTCGCTCCGTTTTCCAACATGAGAGCTTTTTTTCCACCTTTGCCACGAATAGGAGCGCACGGAGCCATAAAAAAGAAGGGCAGTGATGTTGGAACGGCACCGAGGTCCATCCCCACGGTCCCACGGGGCCGGGCAGCCCCACAGCCAGGAGCAAAGCGCTGCGCCGCGTTTTATCCATCACCAAACAGCTCTCACTCTGCACCGTGCGTTCAAAGCGCTGCTGCTACAGCAATGGAGCGGCCGACGGATCTTCGTGGGATGGAGAGAGGAAAACTCCCCGGGAGGAGAACCCAAAGCTGGAGGGGTGGTGGGCAGCAGCTCAGGACCCCACGCCGTGCCCCCCTCCTGATACATCCGTGGCATAACTTCACTCGCAGAGCCGTGGATGGAGGATGCGCGGCGCCGATCCGAAGCACCGCTGAAGTCCAGCGACGAAGCCGGAGCTCGAAGCAGCAAAGGCCGCCCCTGGGGCTCTTTGTGCAGCATCAAGACCCGCACCATCACCTCCAACAGCAAAGCTGGCAGATGCGGGATGGAAGAGCAGTGCTGCCCCACAGCCCCTGCCGTCGGCGGGGGGGGGGTCCCTCCAGCACTGCCGGGGCCGACTGCGCTCCTGGGGGCAGCAGAGGATGCCCTCCTGGGGGTGGAGGGCAGATGCAGAGCAGCACTTCTGACAGCCACAGTCCCACATCCCGGCTCTGATGGAAGCATCCTCGAGGATCTGGGGTTCGCGTCCCTCCGCCGTGCATCCCGTCCTGCTGTGAAACGCTGCCCCCCATCCCCACCCCCTGGGGGCTGCGAGCTCCGTGCTACAGCTGACCCCCCCCCCCCCCAGCAGCCACAGAGAACACAGAAATCCACCCATCCCACCCCACAAAGCGCTTCCACCCCACTGCACACAGGGCTCCCTGCCGGTGACCCCCCCCCTTCCTTCCCAAGACCCCCCCAGCCAGCAGCACAGCGGGCAGAGCAGCAGACAGACGCAGCCCGGAACCGATGGGGGGCAACGAGCAAAAATGAAGGTTGGGGGGCACCGGGGTGGGGAACCACCGGTAAGGACAGAGGAACACCGGGAGACCCGGACCGGGGATCGGGGGGGGGGGGGACACACGGACGCAGACAGAGCGCTGCCCCCCCCGGTGCCGAGGCGGCCCCGAGCCCGGAGCCCCCCGTGCCCCCCCCGGGCAGAGCTGCGGCCGCGCTCCGCTGTCACCGCCGCTGCCATTGTTCGCGGAGATGTCACCGGGAGCCGCCCCCGTTACCGACCCCAAACCCCCCCGTTATTCCGGCGGAACCCGCCCGACCCGGGAGGTGTTGCGGTGCGGGGGGGTCCGCCGGGGGTCGCCCCCCCCCAACCCCTCTCACCGTCGCGGCGCGGAGCGGCCCCCCCGGCCCGGCCCGGGCGCGGGGAGCGGCGGGGGGGGCTCAGCGGCCCGGCGGCGGCTCCGGTTCCATCGGCGGCGGCTTCACCTGAGGAGGGCCCGGCCCGGCCCCCCCCCCCCGCCCGCCCCGAGCCACTTCCGGGCCCCGCGCGCAGCCGCGCGCCCAACGCCGGCGGGAGGGGGGGGGAGTGGGGGGGGCGCGCGGCCACCGCGGGCGGCGCGGGGGGGGGCGGAGCGCCGAATGCATCGATGGGGCCGAGGGCAGTGCGGGCTGTGGAGCGCCGAGAGAGAGAGGGAGCGCCGAGAGAAGAGCTGAGACTGGGAGGGGGGAGAAACCGGGGAAAAACCGCGGGGTGCGGGGGGACCGTAGGGGGTGTGGAGGGACAAAGCGGGGGAATGAGGGGACACTGAGGAGTCCGGGGATACGGAGGGTCCCGCTGGGGGGCTCCGAGAGGTGCGGGGGGTCCTGTGGCAGCGGGGGGCGATGTGGGGACAACGAGAGGCTCAGGGGGAGGCTGAGGGTCCCGCGGGGTCACAGGGTCACGTGGGGACACGGAGAGTCCCGTAGGGATGGAGGGGGATGTGGGGTCACTGGGGGTCACAGGGGGCGATGTGGGGCCCCGCGGGGTCCCACGGTGAATCCCATAGGAGCGCCCCGCAGCCGCGGGGAACCCTGACACCACCGCAGCCTGAGCTGCCCCGGCGCTGCCCCAGGAAGCATCGAGTCCATAAAAGCTGCGCAATCTTTATGGAGCTGCTTTCACACCTCTCACTTTCAGGGGCCGTAAAGCAGCGACCTTCGTGCCAGCAGCGGCACGGCCGCATCCAGGGCGGGCCATGGGGCGACAGAGCCGTGGGGGTGACAATGCTGCGGGATGACATTGCCGCGGGGTGACAGAGCCTTGGGGGCGGCCGTCAGTCCTGCACAGACACACGGACGCGGTGCCAGGCGGTGCTCAGCACCCCGCGCAGGTTCCAGATGGGCGCCACGCTGTCGGGCTGCACGTTGTAGCTGCTGTCCACCGCTTTGCAGACGATCTCCAGCTCCGTCCCCGCCGCCACCGGCACCGTCAGCTCCCACAGCGCCCATGCCCACGCCCGGCCCAGCGGAGCCTTCTCTCCCGCCAGCCGCGCCACCTTCCACGTGCGCCCGCCGTCCAGCGACACGTCCACGCGCACCACCTCGCGCCCCCCGCCGCTCCACGCGTAACCCTTCACCGTCAGCTCCCCCGGCGGCACCGCGGCTCCGGGCCGCGGCTGAGTGACGGCCGATTGCACCGGCAGCTCCTGGATGGCGGGCGCCGTGCGGTAATCCACCGTGTCCCAATCCACGCAGGGGGAGAAGCCCTTGTAGTCGTTCTGCTGCCAGTGGCTGGGGCTCTCGGCCGGGCTCACGGCCACGCGTCGCAGCCATTTGACGCTGCGCGCGCCCACCACGCCGGGCACCACGACGCGGAGCGGGAAGCCGTGGTCGCGGGGCAGCTCGGCGCCGTTCATCTCGTACGCCAGCAGCACGTCAGCGGCGGGGCTGAGCGCGCGGCCGTAGGGGATGGACGCTCCGTACGGAGCCCCCCCGGGGTCGGCGTCCAAGCCTTCGAAGCAGACATGCCACTCGCCCTGGCGCTCCTCGGGGAAGCCGGCGTGCAGCAGGACGTCCCGCAGCCTCGCTCCGCCCCACCGCGCCGTGCTGATGGCGCCGATGTCCCACGGCAGCCCTTTGACGGGCCGCACGTGGCTCATCTCGGCGCGGCGGTTCCCGGCGCACTGCAGGGTCGCCGTCACTTCGTGTTTGGGGAAGCGGCTCCGCAGCTCGTCCAGAGACAGCGACAGCGTGCGGCCGCCGGGACCGTCCACCCGCAGCCGGTAGGAGCTGGGCTCCACCACCGGTACCGGGAGGTGGTTGCGGGTGAAGAAAAGCTCGTTGGGCGTCAGGAAGCGCTCGGCCAGCAGCTCGGCCGGCGGCTCCGCGTTGAAGGGCTTCTGGCTGTTGACCCGCAGCCCGGGGTGCCGGGGGGGGTCCCCGGCGAAGGGGTCCTGGGCGTCGGGGGCCGGCGGTGCCTCGTCGGGGCTGAGCTCGCCCACCTTGTACTGCTGCAGCAGCTCCAGGACGTGCGGTTCTCCGTGCACCGCATACAGTGCCCAGAAGGGCTCCAGGGCCCCACCGGCCGCCAGCAGGATTTTGTCGGGTCCCCCCGGGTGCAGCTCCACGAAGTCGGTGACGTCGAACACGTCGGTGCCGTGGGTCACCCAGACGCGCTCCTCGGGGCTCCGGTGCCGCCCCACCTCCTCCCGCGTGTACCGGGGGTACGACGGGGCGGCGGCGGCGGCGTGAGCGGCCTGGGGGGGGAGGAGGAAGAAGGGGGGCCTCGGCCTCGTCAGCGAGGATAACCCGGACCCACCTCCTTCCCGGTGCCCCCCCCTCCACTCCCCACCCGGTGCGCGCTCACCCTCCGCCGCCGTTCTCCATAGCTCAGCGCCGTGCCGAGGCCGAGCAACGCCGCCAGCACCGGGACCACTCGCCCGCCGCCCCCCCCCGGGCCCGGACCGCCGGGGACGATGTCCGTCCGGGAGGAGCCGCGGTGCGGAGGGAGCGGCGGGAGGGGCAAACGGACTCTGCGGAGAGAGCGGCGCTGAGCGGTGCCCGAGGGCGGAGGGGGGCCGGGGTCCCCTCGGGGGGTGACATCGGGGGTAACTGTGAGTGTGTTGCGGGCGGGGGGGGGGGGGGTCCTACCTGCGCCGGGGTACAACGCGGAGCAGCAGCATCGCGGCGGGACCTGCGGGAGGCAACGCTCAGAGCGGAGCGGGGGGGCCCACGACGCCACCCCCTCCCTCCCCTCCCCCGGTAGCGGATTTTCCGCTCCCCCCCCGTGCGCACCTGCGTGGCAACCGCGGCGTTGAGCGGAGCCGAAGGCTTTAACGGAGGGGCGAAGGGGCGGGGACAGACGGCTGGGGCCACGCCCCCTCCCCCTCCCCTTCCCCCCCCACGGCGTTGGGGGTGAGCGTTAAAGGGGCCGCGGGCCAAAATCCCGCACGCGTGAACCCGGGGCGGGACGCGCCGCCGCCCGCCGTGGCGATAAGCGTTATCGGGGCGCAGCCGGATACGGGCACGGCTCCAGCCCCCCCCTCCCCCCCATTACACGGCGCTGTTTCTCTTTATTTATTGAGGTGTTTTTTTTCATTTTTTCTCCGTTTTTTTTTTTCCTTCTTTTTCTCTTTACTTACATTAAATACATCGGTAGATCAGCAGCTGAGTTCTGTTACCACGATTCGCTATTTAAATGCGATGGAGGAGCTTCCTCAAAGCAAAACAAAAAACAACCAAACGGAATAATAAAAGAAAAAAAACAAACCGAACAGCGGAGACAGAGGGAAAACGGGGAGGGTCGGAAAAGCTGCAGCGTCCCGCCTCGCTCCCGGGGGGGCCGATCTCGGGCCGCGCAGAGGGGGGAAAGCAGAGCCGGGGGTCGCATCGCAGCCCCGATCTGCTCAGCCCGCGCTGCGGGGCGTCATGCGGGACCCCCCCGCCCCCCATAAAGGGGGGACGACCCGCACGAGGGGCTTCCTGGGAGCCCAGGCTGCCGGGCGCGGACCAGGGCAACGGCCTCGGGGCTGCGGTGCGGGGCACGGCGCCTTGGCGGCAGCCCAAGGGATCCGAGTTCCATCCGGGAAGAGGAGAAGGGAACGAACTCCCTCACCTCCCTCCTCCGCTCCCAACCTCCAGAGCAAACAGGACCTGGAGGAGAAGCAAGGAGCGGCGGAGCCGGGCGCTTCCCCACGTCGAGTGCCGAGCAAAGGCGGGAGGAGGAACGGGGCCAAAGCGAGCGGGGCTCAGTGGGACACGGGGCCGCAGCTCCGCCCAGGGGGGCGGGGGGGCAGAGGCGGCTGTTGGGGTCGCCCGCTGGCTCTGCGTCCCCCCCCCCCAAAAAAAAAGATTCCCAGGCACTTCTGAACCTTCAGCAAAGGGGAAAAAGAAAAAAAAGGCCACCAAGGAAGGAAGCGAAGGACGCTGCAGCTTTTTCCTGCCGGACAGGGAAAAAAAAAAAGAGAGGAAAAAAAGAAAGGAAGAAAAAAAAAAAGGAGGAAAAAAAAAAAAACAGTGACGAAACCAAATCCATCTCAGACCCCGCGCTTTCCCAGAGGTCTCCGGTGCCTCTCGTCGGTCGCACACAAAACCAAGCCGAGGATGCGCTGCCATCGTGCCGCCAGGAGGGGAGACGCGAGCAGGGCTGAGCCCGCAGAGCAAAGAGGGAGGTGGGAGAGGGAGAAAGGCAGAGGGAGGAGCTGCGGTCGGGTCGCTATTTGCACCTATCGTACAAAGTGAAGAAGAGTTTGTTGGTTTGTTTTTTCTTTTTTTTTTTTTTTTCTCTTTTGTTTTTCTTTTTGTTTCCCCCCTCTGGAAGTTAAGTCCCCGGCGGATGGAGTTCCACTGCCATCGGGATGGTGCTCACGGGTGTCTGGTGGTGGCTTTGAAGCATTAAAAAGTGCAGTTAGAGCTCTCGGGAGGGTTCTGGTTCGGGTGGGTTTTTCTCGGTGCGCCGTTACGGAGGGGAGGTGAGGTGTGGTGGAGGGGGGCGGAGGTTTGGAGGTTATATTTCAGCTCTTCCTCGCTCGCGGGCCGCTGCCGAAGGCCGCCCTTCAGTTGCTACAGCACTGGCTCTTGTTCTGCTGGGTTTGCTCGTGAAGGTCCACGCCTCTGCTCCTCCCCGCTGCACCGCTTGTGCTCTGGGGCTCGCTCTTTGGCAGCTTCTTGGCTGGAGGGGGGGAGAGAAGCATCAGCGGGGCTCCCAGCGCCGCTCCAGGGAGGAGGAAGAGCTGCCCTGAGCCCCAGCGCCCAGGAGGCATCGGCTCCGCGTCGCGCAGCAGGGCGGGCTGTGAGGAAACCGCCCCCCCCTCACCCTGCAGGACCCCCCACCCCCCCGCAGCCTCACCGATGGCCAGGAAGAGGTCGTTCACATTCATCGCCGTCTTGGCCGACGTCTCCATGAACAACAGGCTGTTGTCATCTGCGTAAGCCTGCGCCTCCTGGAAGAGAGCAGCCAGGTGAGGCTCCAGCAGCCACGGGGGGCTGCAGGGAGGGTGCTGGTGCCACCACTTACTTCGTACTCCACCATACGTTTGCTGGCCAGGTCGGCTTTGTTGCCCGCGAGCGCAATGACGATGCTGGGGCTGGCTTGCCTCTGCAGCTCTTTCACCCATGTTTTCGCCCGTGCAAATGTTTCCTGGGAGCAGAGAGGGGGAGATGCGAGGTTACCACGAGGCGGGCGCCCCCCAGGGACCCCCCACCAAGGGCTGAGCCTGCGCCGAGAGCCTCACCTGGTTGGTGATGTCGTAGACCACGATGGCGGCCTGCGCCCCCCGGTAGTACATGGGGGCCAGGCTGTGGTATCGCTCCTGGCCCGCCGTGTCCCAGATCTCAAACTTCACCGTTGTGTCGTCCAGGCAGACGGACTGTGTGAGGAACGCCGCTGCCGGGAGGGAGGAGGGCGTCAGCATCACTGGGCCCCCCAGCGCCCAGCCCACGGGGATCGAAGGTGCGGGAGAGGGAAGCCGGTGTGAGGCGCAAATGGAGGCGGCAGCCGCAGGAGCGCAGCTCCAGCCCCGGTGCAGCCTGCAGGCAGCGCCCCCGGCGACTCACCCCCGATGGTGCTCTCCTGGTACTCGTGGAATTGCCCCTTGACGAAGCGCAGCACCAGGCTGGATTTCCCCACCGCCGATTCGCCCAGCAGCACCAGTTTGAACTGACAGATTTTGCTGGCTTGGGATTGCCCGTTCGGCCTGGCGGCTCCTCTGCTGGTCATGGCCGGGCTGCTGCTGGGCTCCTGCCCTGCTGAGAGCCGGGAAGGCACCGACGCTGGGAGCGCTGGCGTTGGTTCCACCAGGCAGTCCTGGAAGGGGAGGAAAGCAGTCGGTCACTGCGTGCTGCACCATTAAATCCCTCCGGCCAAATGCAGTACAGGTGTGGTGGGCGCGGGCACCCTTGGGGGTGCACAAAGAGGACCCGACTGCTCTGCTTCCAGAGCGACTCCCAGGAGCTGGGTGGGAAAGGCTGACCCCGAGTGACGCCCAGGGGAGGCAGCGCCTCTGCCAGGACAAGGCTTAGCCTCGTGTCCCAGGCCGCTCCTGTTTGTACCACAGCACAGATTCCTCAGCTGCTTCACCTCTCCCCGCCCATAGGAGAAGCTGGGAACCAACTCCGCAGCTCAGCCTCCAAGTTCCTCAGCCTGAGGTTCTTTTTCTGCTTTCTGTTTTCCCTCGGCACGCACTCAGAGCAGACAGCACAGCGCATCCCATCCGCATCAGCAGCTCCTTCAGCCACAGCACGCACTGATGGGTCACTGCGCAGCCCGAGTCCTTCAGCTCCCACACCGGGACAGCAGGGAAAGCAAGGTTTGTGCTTTTCAAGCTAATCTCATTCATTCTTTATTTTTCTTTTAAGGCTCACCTCCCATACAGCCGTAGGACACAAACGGCCGCTGGAGCACAGCCAGCAGGGGAAGGCCATCAGTGCCTGCGCCCCCACGCACGGCTGCGAACGAAGCACCTCCACGCAGTGCTGAGCCCAGGCCTTGAGCCTCACAGCCCCCACAACCCACAGCCCCCTCAGGCCCAGCTCCAGGGGGGGGAGGTTCCACTTCACCTTTGCACTTCCACAGGCTGGATGCAGTGCTGCAGCACGCGCACCCTACAGCACCAGCCCCAGGACCACCGGCTGCTCCTGTTACACCAAATCCTCTCACCTGCAGAGGCAACCAAGCTGAACTGTACACACAGTTACTCCCACCACACCTTTGTGTCACAGCCAGCAGCGCTCGCTGTGACTCAAGGTGTGAAGCACTGAGCTCCATGAGCACACACAGGCCCATGAAACACCAGCAGGCGCTGACCGTGGGGCACCGTGCTGCGCAGCCCCCCCAGCACAGAGCGCACAGCTGCAGCAGCGACGGCTCCACGTCACGCGGGGCTGAATCGGGAGGTAAAGTCTCCCATCGCAGGACCCCACCCCGACCCTACGAGGACGCAGAGCCCCTGGGAGCAGCGCCACCAGCAGCCGCACAGCATTGCAACAGCCGCCAGGGCCAACTGCTTTCCTGTTACCGGGCGGACTTCTCCTATGTCCCAACCGCACTCGCACCACCGCCGAGGCGGCTGCGGGACCGGCGACCTCCGGTGGGGCAACGTGGGTCCCTTTATAACAGAGCCCGCGCCGCCCGGTCCCGGTGCATTCTTCATCTCGGGCGGCTCTGCCGGACGCAGCACCGTTTCCATTTGGCACAGCGGGGCGGTCGCGCTCTCTCTCGGCCCTCACCGGACCGCCGGGTGCCGCCTGCTCGGGCGGGGGGCCCGGAGGCGGCCAACACCGGGCGTTCGCTCTCCCCCCCCCCCCCCCCCCGGCCTGCGCCCCCCGCGGCGGTGCGCCCGGCTCCCCGCCGGCGCCTCGGAACGGGCGGAGCCGCGGGGAGATCGAACTGGGGGAAAACCAGAGGAATTCGGCTCGGTAACGAGAGCCCCTGTGGATACCGAAGGAACAGAACCGGGCCCGGTACCCGCCCGGCCCCGAAACTCCGCCCGTGGGACTCCGGCAGCCCACGGCTCCCCCCGGGCGCTCGGTGCACCGCGGCACGGCGGACCCGGTCCCCGCCCCAGGCCGGGCCCAACCCCGGGCCCAGGCCGGACCCGGCTGTTCCGGTCCTTCTGGGCGAGCCCGGCTGGGCTCCAAAGCCTGCACGCGCGGGAGGCGGCCCGGAACCCGGCCCGGCGCTCGGCCCCGCCTGCAGCCGCCCCGCTCCCGGTACCTGCGGCCCCGGCCTCCCGCTGCGGCCCGAGCACACAAACAGCGCCTCAGCCCAGCCCTCCTCTCGCGGGCGGGATTAAGGCGCTGCTCCGCCAATGGGCGACGCGTGACGGGGCGGCGGGCACGCCTCTTCCTGTCGGCGCAGCCAATGGGAGTGGCGAAGTATGCGTCATCGCCCCCGCCCCGCGCGAGACGGCCTATGGAAGACGGTGATTGGACGGATGGGCAGCGCCGCACCGCCAATAGGAGTAAGGGAGCGGTGAGCCAGTGGTCAGCAGGAATGCCGCGGGGAGGCGGGGCCAGAGGTGAATGACGGAGCGCCCGGCCAGCGGGATGCGTCACCGCGTAGGGGGCGTCACCAGGAACAAATAAGGTGACCGAAGGGGGCGGACCCCTGCGGCAGCAGTGACCAATCAGAGGGCAGAGGAGGCCCAGCCGGGCCAACCCGCGGCTGGCGGCGCGATGAATGACGAAACGCAGGGCGGTGCCTCGGGGCCATTCACGGGCCGGGTTGCCCATGACTGACAGCCCGTGGAGCTGCGGGGGCCGCCGGGAGCCGCGACCTCTGACCCCCAGCGGCTCTCCTTCACTTTTGCGCTGCGGTCTTCGGCGGGGGCGGGGCTAAGCCTGGCCAGTAGCAGCGCTTCATAGCGCCAGGGGGCGGGGCCTACAGGGACCGGGGCCTCATGCGGACCCTACGGGGGCGTGGATGGGGCAGTGGGACGCAGGGGCGCGTATGGACCATATAGGGACTATGGGACACAAACGGGCCCTATGGCGACCGTGTGGCATGTATGGGTGCTGTGAAAAGATGGGGCACATATGGGCCCTATTGGTATTTCAAGGACCTGGGGGCAGCCATGGGGAAGCCCTACAGGCATAGCGGCCCTACAGATGCACAGGATGGTGCTGGGGGAGCTGCAGGCAGGTGACAGAGGACAGACTGCTCCCAGCCAGCTGAGGAGGGGCTGATAGGGGTCAGACACCCACAACCCCCGCCATGTCCCACAGGCACTGCTGAACAGGAGCTGCACAAAGGGCTTTAAATGTCAACTACAAAATGGCAAAAAAGTTACAAAAGTCAGCGAGGAAAAGCCCGCGGGGGGGAGGGAAGAGGTGGACCCCCACTGCCACCCCGGGGACGGAGGAGAGGGGGACAAAGGGAGGGGGAAGGCTCTGTCCCTCACCCTCCCACCTCACCCTCAGCTGTAAGTGCCCGAGAGCCCAGGCAAAGGGGGGGTCCCCACCCCGAGCAGTCCTGGGGGCTGGGGGTCCCAGTGCCCCACTCTGCGCTCGCGCTGTCCGCAGCCAACGTGCCCACCCCCAGCCCAGTGCTCACAGGCGCAGGTGGGGGACAGCCCTGGTGACATCACGGAAGAAGGGATGGCCCAGCGCTGCCTTGGCCGAGATGCGTTTGTTGGGAT